CCACTCGACGGAAGAAGCAGCTGAAGAATTCCATGGACAAGTAATTGGACCAGAGCCACCAGTTACCATGGTAACTGGTGGCATGTTCTGGGTAAGAACTTACCGTCCCTTATTGGAATCCAGTTTTCATTTTCTTAGATTAGTAAACCAAGGCTGAGATCAAAACAACTTCCTTTCTTTTGTTTCAAGCCCACTCAGGAATATCTTGCATATGTCAAGTGCTTTTATTTTGTTTTCCAAAGTACTTTCACATATATGGTCTCATCCCACACCCACAGCCCTGTGTGGGGTTAGACATTCTTATTTTGACTTATGGATCAGAAAACGGAGGCATATACCGGGGAAGAGACTTGCTAAGCCCCCAGAGCTGGTTCCTGGCAGAGCCATGAGTCCGGCACTCTTTCCTGTGGGTCACGTTGTCCTGCAGCCGATCCCGGATCCTGCCTGAAACTGAGCAGAGTAGCTAGGGTTCACACAGAGGTGATGACTCCAAGCCACAGCTGCAGAAGCGAAGAAGCACATATGAATAAAGCTACAAAAGTGACTGTATTTTCAAAGACCTAGACATTTGCACCAGGGTCAATGGGTCCGTGCAAGTCTTGGTCTAGAGGTTCCCTCAGCCACCCACCAGTCAACGGAAACCCCTTGGCCTTTTCCTTCCTTCTTCCTTCCCTTCCTTGCTCTTCTTTCCTTCCTCCCTCCCTCTCCCTCTCCCTCTCCCTCTCTGTCTCTGCTTCCCTCCACACCCCCATTCCTTGGTCAAGGCAGAGCTTAATAATATAAGAAGGAACTCTGTGGTTGGCTCGTATTCTCCTCCTCTGCTAGAGAACTATGTCCAATCAAAGCTCTGTGGTCTCAGGTTCCTCGCATCACATTCTGGGAGATGCTCTACGCACTGATCAGAGTGCAGGGTCCCTCAGGACCTGCATGTGGCTTGGGAAGGAGGACACAGCCATGTCCTGTGCTGAGCATTTGATTGCCAGAATTGTCACTCACAGCATCCAAAAACTGGAGAATCCACATCTCAGAGGGATCCAGAAATTAAACGTCCCCGTCTGAAGCATGTGTGAGGACAGCTGTGGAAAGACCCTGCCTGGGCCTTGGAGACAGAGAATCATCTGGTTGAGAATTCAGTCTCTGCCACTCCAAAGCCTCACGAACTTGTGCAGGGAAAGGATTTAACTTTTCCAAGCCTCAGATTCCTCATCTGTAAAGTGGCAAAAAAAAAACCTAACACTATTCCCACAGGTTGTAAGAATTAAGTGCCAAGTACAGTGTCAGGCAAACAGTAGGTACCCAATAAATGTTAGTTCTCCTCCCACCAGTCTTTTCATTAGTTCCATTCAAAGGTGCATTCCTAACTGAGTGACACTATTTGAAGAATTAATCTTATCTTAAGAAATAAAATTCTCTGTACTCTAACTGTTATGCCTGAAAGGCCAACGATTAGCCGGGTAAAGGGCGAATACCGCCAAAGGGCGCCAGCTTCAGAAAGAACCTGGTATTAGCTGTGATTTCAGAGGTTTTATGAAGTCACAGAAGCTAATCCTTACATTGATGATGTCTCACCTCACCACCCAGGACAGAGTGGCCCTTTTCTGATGATACTTCAATCTTCCATGGCACTTATTACAGTCGTAATTATAGAGCTCTTTATGAGATTATTTGTGTTTACACACTCTCCAAGAGCAAGGACCATGCCTAGCACGGTTCCTGGCACACAGAGGGTGAGTGAATGGTAAAGTTTCTACTTGCCTTATCTCATTGTAGCCATACAGCAATACTGTTAGTGACCCAGGGGTCCAGATGACAACTGCACTTTACAGATGAGGAAACAGAAGTTCCAAGAGGTTGACCACTGTTCAGGCCACGCAGCAAGTGGTGGGGCAGGCACTTCAGCACAGACCTCTTGACACTAAATCCGGTGTTCCTTTCCTCCACGCTCCTCTGCCCTTTGACTTGCCAGCCTCGCCCTCATGTCAATTCAGATGGTGACGTAGAGGAGCTCAGTTCCCTGGAGCCTTCTGTCTGGGTGTGTCATTTGGTGGCCAGCTGCCACACTTTGAGTGCTGAAGGTCCACTTTCCGCCTTAACCCACTGAGTAATGGGTTATTTATCGGCTGACAAGAGCCCCCTCTGAAGATGGCAAAGCAAGTCTGTACATGTTCAGCTCCACAGGCCTCAGGAAGCCTCTGGCAGGGTACGTTCCCAGGGTTGGGAACTTCAGCTGGTTAGTTTTGTGCTGTTTGTGGGGGGCCCTTGATATTCAGGTTCAATACTTTAGAAGTTTGGTCATTCCATCCATTTCTGTTTGCTTTCCCCCTCTCTAATCCTCTAAGATTTAAAAAAAACCAATTTCACTCAAAGCACTTAGGACAATTGGGTCTCAGTTTACATTCTCAATTCCCATTTAATTGCTATCCATTCTTTACTAATGAACCAGGTCTCTGATCTAGACATGCAGTAAACATCCCAACCTTCTCCTTTCTCGCCATCAAACCTATGTCACAATCTTGCCTTACTGTTCTATTAAATCCACGCCTCTTTTTTCAACCTCCCCATTTCTGGGGATCCCTGGAGAACACTTAGAGGTTCATGTTCGAGGAGCAATTGAACTTAATGTTTAGCCAGGCATAATGGAAAAACACCTGGAGTGGGAGTAACGAAATGCGTTGGGGGGGGTGGCCCCGTGGCATAGCGGTTAAGTGCGCGCGCTCCGCTGCTGGTGGTCAGGGTTTGGATCCCAGGCGCGCACGGTCGCACCGCTTGTCAGGCCATGCTGTGGCAGTGTCCCACATAAAGTGGAGGAAGATGGGCATGGATGTTAGCTCAGGGCCAGTCTTCCTCAGCAAAAAGAGGAGGATTGGCATGGATGTTAGCTCAGGGCTGATCTTCTCACAAAAAAATAAAAAACAAAAAAACCCAAAAAAACCAAAATGCGTGTGAGGGCTGGCTCTGTGGCCCAGTTGTTAGGTTTGGAGTGCTCTACTTTGGCAGCACAGGTTCTGTTCCTGGGAGCAGACATACACCACTTGTCAGTGGCCGTGCTATGGTGGCCCACATACAAAATAGAGGAAGATTGGCACGAATGTTAGCTCAGGGCAAATCTTCCTCAGCAAAAAAAGAGAAAGAAAGAAAGAAGAAAATGTGTGTGCATGGCCTACTTTACTTTAACTAGTCGTGAGATGTGGGGTGAGTGATTTCACCTCCGTGGGTTTGGTATGTGACTCTCTGAACCTGCAGTGGCTCCTCCCCAACCTCTTGTGTTCCTCTAGGACATTTCATCTTCTGAAGCCCTTGATGACAAATCAGAGACACGAATTGTCTTAAGAACCACAAGTGAAAGGCTCACTGACCACTCAAAGGTCACTCAAGGCTCTTTTTCAGGAGCAGCAGGCAGAAAAGATCATCCTTAAGCCTAGTGTGGTCTGGAAGTACTTGCAACAAGATTGTAACTACTTCCTTAAAAAGACTTCAAAGCCCTTTATTAACCCAAATAATAGCTGAGCTGATAGGGACAGAACAGTAGCACTCCTTGAAGTGTGGGTGGCATGTACTTCCTGGTGGCTCTCAGGAGAGAAGCTGCTCTATCCCTCCAAAACTACCAGGGACAAGTGGCTTCACTGGTCACTAAAACCAGCCTCAGCACTTGGGCTGAGGATCAGCACAGACCTGAGAGAAGTGAGGGCTGGTCAGGCCGCTGTGGCCAAGAGAAGAGGGCAGGATGGGCCAGGTCACAAAACCAGGGAACACGTACCAGCACCGGGCGTGGGCACCCTTCAGCAGACCATGTGGTCTGAGCAATGTCTGCAGGCAGCAGGGAGCCAAGAGAACAGGCAGAGTCACAGAGCAGGAAGGAAACCAAGCCCAGCACGGAGCGCAGTGCAGAGACATTCAGAGGGTCCAGGGAAGCCAGATGCACGAGTGACAAGGGTGATGGGAACAGCAAGTGGCAGTAACAGCAGGAGGACTATTTAGCGAGCACTAGGGGCAGCAGGTTAATAAGACCTTTGACTTTACAACTGAACATGGACTAAATACAAAGGGGATCAGAACCACATGTATATGACCAGATGTATGTATACGCATATTTAAAAGAACACAGATATGTGAGAAAAGCGGGCAGAAATGAGCAGCAGGTGATGATAATATGCCCTGGAAATGGAACTCAGACACTGATCTAGACCAAGATGCAAAATGCCTGGTGGTACAGGGCCTGACACATGGTACCGGCTCAATAAACAATGTCAGCCGCTTTCTTCCCCTGCTTTCCCAGAGAAGGGACGCCCCTGCATCCCAGAGAAGGGATTGATAGTTTGAATTAGCATGAGCCTTGTCTACTTACCTGTTACTAGAGGAAAGTCTAATTGCTTAGTAAAGCTGTGCACTGTGTACCCCCACTGTACTATTTACCTATTCTTAATTAACTTCTTTGTGTCTAAATTTCAAAGGTAAGACCTTATCAGGATGCACTGTACAATCCGCAGAAACTCTGAATTTGAATGCAGCCCCAGTCCCTAACGTGTGCCCAGTCAGGTAGGCACACGATGGGGGCCCTGCAGGAGCCTCTTGTCCATAAGGCACTGCACATCGGGGGCTTCTCAGTAAGGGCAGTGATAGACCAAGGCCGTGGCCACTGAAGCGAGCACCTAGACGCACCCTTCCCGGTGGGGCCGAGGCGGGCGGATCTCATCCACGCCTGCCCGTTGCTCCCACGGAGAACTGGGTTCCCAGGTCAGCCCTGCCCGAGGAGCGCCCGGGCCGCTGTCCCGCGGAGCAAGGCTGAAGTCCGGGCTGCAACACACCTTGGAACTGCAGCGCCAGACCTCCTGTAGGCAGGGCGTTCTCCCCCCTGCACGATGACATCATGTGTTTGGGGCTGAGTCGCTCCATAAAGCAGCTCGCGGGGAGCCAGGAGCCCAAGGGACGAAGTGCTCGCCACGGTGCCGGGCCGCACGCACGCGATCCCGGTGCGCGCCCCGTAGCCCCCGAGCACCGCGCGCCCGAGAGCGAGCAGCGGGAGCCGCCGGCAGCGCGCGCCCGCCGCGCAGGAGCCGCCGAAGATGCCCCAGCGCAGCCTGCACGCGGCCGCCGTCCTCCTGCTCTTGATCTTAAAGGAACAGCCTTCCAGCCCAGCCCCAGTCAACGGTAAAGTTTCTGCCTCTTCTTTCCTAACAGTCCTCAGCGCTCAGCCGCCCCTGGGCAGAAGGATCTCCTGCGCGGCTCTCTAATGACAAAGTAAAATTATTTTAGGGGAGCAGGGAAGGACAGGCATAGTACCAAATAGCACATTTTTTAGGAAGGATGCTTCGTTTTCCTCTGGAATGCACGACCTGCTGCGATTGGGGGAAGCACGTTGTCTTCATATTAGAATATGTCTGTGCGTTCTCTGAGCGCCCCCAGCTCTGGAGGGGTGGCTTGGGAACTTGCTAACGGGGGGGACAGAAACGGAACCAGGATTTAAAATATTGTGCCTGGATCCACGCGCGGATAGAAGTGACTGGCGTTCTGAGCGGCGTCATTGCCAGGGAAGGCTTGCAGTCGCCCCAGCCACAGAACCCTCCGACAGTGGTGGGCGCTTTCTTTGGAGGAGGGACTCTTTACCATTAAATTTTACCTCCAAGTCAAAGGGATGATTCTTCTCATCCTTAATCATTGTTTTTCTCCTAGCGCTCTACTATCCTGAACGTACTGTGTGTGTGTGCGCGTGTGTATGTGCACTCAGAAGAGCATACACACCTCATTTCTGAGTGTAATTAGGGCCCTTCACCTGGAAGGGCTGGAGGCTGAGGCTGCCCAGTGGGGTGGCAGGAGGAGGTGGGGGGAACCTGACCTGTAGGCTCAGGTCCAGGCAGTGAGTTGCTGTGAGCAGTCAAGGTCAGGGTAGTTAATCCGTTGGAACAAGAGGAGGATGCCAAGCTTTGGCCTGGCTCTCCCCCAGCTGGGTGAGCACTTTTCTGAGGGGTAGATGGCGACTTTTCTGGAAATTTCCCAGGTAACCGATGGTGGCTTCTGCCCTTGACAGAGTTTGCCCCAAGTTGAGAGATATTTGCAGATATGCTACGATTCCTGGACCCAGGTGAGGTTGAAACATTTATGGAAGAGCCCAAAGTGACCATAATGGCAGAAAATCGATCCCCCCAGCGATGCAGTGGTGGTGGGAAGTTGGTCCTGCTCAGCAGCAGGAAAGCTCGGAGCCTCCTGGTGTCTTGAAGGTCATTGCGCCCATGGGGCAGGGCAGGGGCAGCAGGCCGAGCTGGACTGGCAGCAGCTTTGGCAGTACACTCAATTCAATTCAAAGCCACTGGCGAGCGTGACATGCTTGATATCATCCCCCTCATCTGGTCAGGGAGAAACAGAAAGGAGTTATATAAAAGTGGAAATTAATTTTAAAACTGCAAATTTTGACATGTATTCCCCTCTCAAGAAAGCTGCGCTGAGACCTGAAGTCTCACTAGAAATCTCCCTTTAGTTCCAAGCTGCTACAAGACAAAAGAGAGAAACAGCCATTCACTGCCTGTCTTTCCTGAAAGCTTGTTACTCCCCTCAACTCTGGGGCAGCTCCTCCTCCCTTCTCTTCCCCTGCCCGCCCTGCCCCCCCCTTTCTTCCCCTCTCCTCCTTGCCCCTCCTCCTCCCTCCCTTTCCCTCCTTCTTCACTCCCCCTCCATTCTCCAAGTTGGGGTGGGAGACGCGTGCAGCAAAAAATCCACTTTCACCTCATACTGAGTAGCCAGCCTGCCTGCCCCCGGATTCTAAGAACACAGTTTTTATTCTGTTATTCCTCATGCAGATTTCTTGTCTTTTTAACTGCCTCAGGGGACAAGGTCGAAGCAAAAATCACTGATGTGTAGAGTGTCAGTAGTAACCCAAGGTTGGGGGTGGAGGGGCATTAAGCTGGGTATGCCCTCTCCCCGGAGCATTTAAACTTCCAGCGGTTGGCACTGGTGAATGTCTGAGAAAAATGGCTGGCGTTGGGGAGGGAGGGAGCAAAATAAGGTGAAGTCAAGTGTCTTCCAGAGAAAACTTTGGAATTCTTAGTTGCTGTGGGGGAATAGTTCAATAAATTCTGCAGAGCCTGCTCTGTCTGAACTTGGTGTGGAGAGTTGGGCTGCCCAGATAACTCAGGGAAGGTTCTAGCACCCAGGACAGGAAGCAGGTAGCTCTGACCCCTGACCTGGATCTTTGTAAATACCATTTTCTCAGCAGGCACCCAGGGAATTCTCCCTGTCCGGTACAGACTGGGCCTGCAGGTTCTAACAGGCATCAAGCTGGGCCTCCCAAGTCTCCCAGATAGAACAGATGACCTTCTTGGGAAGGGAATGGTTCCCCTCCTGGAAGAGCCTGCTCCCTCAGGAAGCCACCAAAGTGTAGCCACAGGACCCTTGGTCTGGCCTGCCTTGTGGGGTCAGTTTAGTCCTGTTAAGACTCCTGCCCCTAAAGCTAAAGGCAGGGAACCAGGAGGTGCCGTTTCCAAATAAAGCAAACACACACGCGCACACACACTTCTTTATAAAGTCTCTCTGAGGTCAGTTCTGAGCTGGTGATGAACCAGGCTGGGCCCTGACCTTCCTCCGATGAACCCCCCTGACGTTTTACAGTGCTTCTTCTCCCCAGCCTCCAGCTCCTGAGCCCCTCCACACACCGCCATTTATACCCAAAGCTCCAAGTCTGGAGGACCATGCAGGCTTGCTCAGACAGAGGAGGGCAGGAGATGCTCTGCTTTTCAAGAACAAGTCCCCGGTCTTATGTCACCACCTGAGGTCTTACAGTCCCAGATGTCCACTCTTTAACATTGTGCCCTGAGCTTTCTCATCTGAGGATGAGAACTACAATAATAGGAGAAACCTCAGCTTAGCAAGCTTTGGGGAGGATAGCAGAGGATGTAGGCTATTAGGACTATGATTTGATTTTAAGGAAGGTGCAATTAAAACTTCTGGCCACGGCAGCCCTGCTCAGAGGAGCAGTGAGGATGAACTCCCCTGTTGCTTGTGAAATTTTATATCCTGGGCCTCCAAGTGCTCTGCCTGGCTAAGTGGCAATAATCTGGCTTCTCTGTCTGAAATCCGTGATTGTATTTTAATAGCGAACCCCTCAAACAAAATGTGGAATGAAAATGTTGAGAAAAGAGGTTTGATGTCTTCTATAGCTTGGTTCCAAGGCAAGGCTGTTTGTTCCTTTCACTATTGTTTCAGTAAAAGGGGTAGTAGCAGATTTGGGGGTCACATACAAGTTTGGTTTCCCCCTGGTTCTGAAGGTCTTCATCCAATCGCTAATTCAGGGGAGGTTAATCTTGGGACTCAACTCTTGTGGAATCCATAGCAGGTTTCAGGGGTTCTGTAGACCTCTTGAAGTTAATTGTACATGAAATTTTGTGTGTCCAAGCTTATAGGCAATTTTATGGGGAAAAGGTCCACAGTACTCATCAGATGCTCTAGGGGTCTGCATTCCCCCCACTATCCCAAAGATTGAGGAGACTCACAGATTCCCTAAGTTTCTGGAAAGTCATGTAACTATGGAGAGACTTCTTAGTAGCCACTGATCTTCCACTTCCCCTCCGTGGACTTTCCTCTCCTCATCTATAAAATGAGGTGCCAGCTACAGGTGTGTGACAGAGCCCTCAATCCTTCTCTTCCGGGGTGGGGGGGTGTGTCAATCAACAATGCCCAAACAAACAAATCAGGAAGGAGCAATAGGTATGTTCTATAGAGATGTGGAGATAATGCCAAAAGAATCATTTTAAAAAGATTTAAAGCTGTGTCCCTTGGGAGCGGGAAAATGGGTAGGGGGTGTGAGGGGACTGACATTTGTATAAAAAGCCTTATAAAACCATCTGATTCTTTAAACCATGTACAAATATAATTTGATAAAATTACCAATTGAACTTGAAAATTAAAAACAAAATTAATTAAAAACACTGAGGCAAAAAAATGAAACAGAACAACAAAAAATATGAGATTAAACCAGCTTAAAGAAATAATAAAATTCCTCATTTAGCTTTTAAAGACCACACTTGGCTTAGGAAATGCCCAGTTGTGATAAGTGACTAGATTGCTGGTCAGTTAAGTTTTACTGTAAATCAATTCCCAAGAGAGAAAGGGGATGTGAGAGCCTTCCTCTCCCAGCTGTACCCTGTGACCAAGAATCCGGAGGCATTGGGAGAAGCTAGGAGAGAGGTACTTAAGAGGTGGAGTCCCCTTCTTTGGATGTGTCCCCTGAGACACCTGAGTCTCAATTTAGGGTCTCAGTCTCCTTCTGGAGGTGGAGAGAGAGGTGTGTAGGCAGGGTAATGAGAGCACGGCTCTGCAATGACTTGTTAAAAATGTGCGTTGATGTAGGAAGGAAGGACTGTATGTGCGAAGGGGTGGAGGGGGAGGGGGTAGGTGATTTGCGTTATAGACCTGGCAGAACTTCTCCTATGCCTTCCTACCACCCCTGCAATTCTAACTCAGATGAGGGTGGCAGCTTCCTTAAAGAAAAACTTTCCTTTTGAGATTAGTTTTCACTTCTTTATGTACTGTTGTGAACTGTTCTCCAGGATATGTTATTAAGTGGGAAAAAGCAAGATGCAAGACAGTGTTTCCAGTATGCCAACATCTGTGTGAAAAAAGGAGAGAAAGAATATAAATACATGTGTGTGTGTCGTCATACCGTGAAAGGGTTCACGCTGACTGACGAGACTGGCAGTCTCTAAAGGAGGCAGGGGATTGGGTAGAAGGAAGAGCTTTCAGACTTTGATGGCTTTTGGATTTTGAGCCTTGTGAATTTATTACCCATTCAGAGAATAAGATTTGGGTTCGCTAAGATGTCTGGGAGGCTTCCTCTCAAGAAGCCCACTCCCGCATGAGCCCCTGCACCAACCCACTGTCTTGTGCCTCTCTCCCTTGGGAGCACAGCTGCTCTGAGCAGCAGTTTTTCTGACACAGGCTGAAAAAGTTTTAATTTCTGGGCATCCACCTCCTTTTCAATTTCACCCACTTCAAAATAAAATCTGCAGTGTTTTCTCTAACTTGTTCAAGCTCAATCGTACTTACTTGCTTTGTTTTGTTCTTTGCAGGATCCAAGTGGACCTATATTGGTAAGTAGAGATCTTAAATACTTTTTTGAGGGGATGGCTGTATTTAGTGAAAAAGCCAGAAACTTCATGATCTGTGGAGATTATTTTGGGGGTTGGAGAAAAGCAGTTCTGGTGTTGTTAAAAGAGGGCACAAAGGCCTCTCTAATGAATCGCTCCATACAGGTTGCATACAGCACTTTCTCCAAGCAGAGGAGCCTGCTCTGTGCACTTGGGCTGTGAGTCAGAGTGTTAAGACTTCCAGATTCCTGCAAAGATTTCTCCCGAACCTCCCAGGTGAAAATGCCGAGGTTATCCCCAGACTGCAAGGACCCTGGGCAAGAAAGGGCCTTTCTCCTCGGGAGGACATTGATCCTACAGTAAACAAAGAATAAAGGGCTCCTTTCTGAAAGTTTGGCTCAGGCCCCAGAACTTGCACTGCTAGCGTATCTAGAATTAACTTCTTGTTGCCATGTTTGTAAGCAAGCAATGGATGAAGTGGTGATGATCAGGCCTTAGTGAGAGAGGGATGCTTGTCTTAAATAGTGTGCGACGGAGTTTCCATGGGATTGGGTTAAGAATGGCATTAGCCATCTGTGGCAGGCCTGCAAGATAAGCAGCTCGAAATTGGCTCAGCTGGTGTGTTGCAATGAATTGGAAATTTGGCCACCAGGTGGAGTGGGAACAAGATGCCAAGCACCTGGGTCCACTGGCAAGTATAGGAATGTTAACAATGTCTTGATAGGGACAGAGTCACAAGGGATGTGCAAGATAGATTATAATGGTGAGCAGGAGGGTGGAAGTGGCCTCATTGGCACAGGAAGGGTGGAGACGGGCAGGGAAGTTGATTATTACAGTGGAGGCAAAATCCAGAGAAAGATCTGACTCAGATTTGCAAAAGTTAGCCTTTGGATATTTGTTAGCCCAGGAGGCATAGGAAAGTCACTGAACTAATCAACCAGCTACCTATAGGCCTAGGTCTCCTCGGCTCTAGCATTGCATGGCCCCATCGTTGCTAATATCCCTTATGTACTTATCATGTGCAAGGCACGTTGCTAAGTGGGTGGATAATTAGAAGGGTAGGCTCTGGTCTGTAGCTTGGAATTACTTAAAACTCACAATTCAAAGCAGAATATAATAGGTAATACTAACAGCTAATGAATAAATGGTTCACTGCTCTAATGGTTCAGAGGAGGATGAGATTGCTAGGGCTGGATGGTCAAGGAAGGCTTCCTGGAGGAGGAGGGCTTTCCCCTGGACCTTGGAGGATGGGGAGGATTCAGCGTGGTGAGGAGGAATTACTGTTTGCCAAGATGATGATCACATCACATGAGTGGAGGCAAGAAAGAGCAAGATGGTATTTGAGGGAAAACATGTAGAGAAGGAGTTATAGGGGAGTGATGGACTCTAAGTTCCAAAAGATAGGTGGGGTCAAACAGGCGAGGCATGCAGGGGCAGGCCAGACCTGTCTCACTTTGTCCCACAGATAGAGGGGCAGGGCAGGGAGTGATCTGTGTTTTAGGGAGAGTAATGTGGTGGTAGGGGGTGGAGTGGGAAGGATGGGAGGGAGGCAGGAGGTGTTTGCCTTTGTAGAAGTCCCATTCTGTGTCTTAACGTCCAGTTTACGGTGATGGCAGTAAGAGGGAAGGAAAGGGCAAAGCAAGAGACCCGAAGAAGGAAAAATTGGCAGAGTCTGGGCCTCAGGGCCCCTTGGGCAGGTTCAGTGTGGGAGGTGACAAGAGCAGTGTAGGAAAGAAGGCGGGACTCGGGTCCCGGGCCTTATTCCATATGATCTTGAGTAAGCCATTCGAAACTTTTGAGTCTCGCTTTCCCCACCTGTACCCTGGAGAAGGGGTAGTCTAGATCAGTGTTCTTCAGACTGGCATGGGGTCACCTACATCAGAATCACCTGGAATGCTCTCCAAATATGCAGATTTCTGGGCCCTAGCCTGGCCCTGGAGGAGGGAGGGAACCTGAAAATCTTGTCTATTTCACGCACTCTCCAAGTGATTCTTACGCACACTCTTAGAAAACCTCTGATCAGATGGTTCTCAAGGCCTTTCTAGCCTGAGCCTGGGGTAACTTGCCCCACCTCTTCTATCAGCCTCCCAGGTATAGTGGAAACACAAATCAAGTCTCTCCAGGGGGCCCTGCCTCTCGGTGAGAGCCCCCCTGGGCAGAGCGAGATGGTTACAGAGAACAGAGAGACACTGTGTCAAGGTGTGAGAGGAAAATCTTACTGCCACTTAGTCATGACATGGTGTTCCCCGAGGGAGGGCTTCTCTGTCTGGCCGTAGGGACCAAGCCAGAAGCATTTCTTCCTGACTGCCAGCCCTCTGTCCCTCTTGTCCTGCACAATTAGAGCAGCTCTTTGCTGAGGAAGCAGAGGGCAGAGTCTAATGCTGCACAACATGCATTAGGTGAGCACAAAGGCAAATCAGGCTTTTTATTAGTGAAATGAGCATGCATGATGTGGAGTGAGCCCTCAGTGGGGGCCAGTGAAGGAGGACGCATGGAGGACCTCTAAGGAGGCAAACAGGTCCAGGCTGGCATCTGGCACCTGTGCTCAGAGTAACACAGGTAAACAGAGGGCCTGGCACAGGTGCTGGGGGGAAACACTTTCCAAACAGTAAGGGCTGCCTTGAATGGGGCAAGTCCTACCAGGCACCACGTGCTGGTTTTCCCAGGATGCAGACCTCAGCTGCTTTGCATGTAGATGCTGCTGAGTCATCCATGCTGAGGGCATCCACCAGACCAGCGGGGCCTCCCGCTGCCTGGAGCACATGGTAGGACTTCTAGAGGCACGTGGAAAGAACTCTACCCTCATCCCCCTCCACACTGAGTCACCAGGCTGACTTCCTGGATGGCCCCCCAGGAGACAGGAGGACCATCCTACAGCCAAGATGGGGCCAACCCTGCCCCTGTGCCCTCCTCCCGGCTGGCTGAAGCAGCAGCTGGATATGTGCTAGGTTTAGAACTGCTGAGTGGGCCCTCCCCCTGGAAATCAGCCCCAAATCAACCCTGCTGAGCTTCACCAACTCTGAACTGGAGGGCGACTGCAAGTCAGGTTGTCATGTGAGCTGAGGATAAAGTCTAGCCTGCTGAAGTGAATGTGTGCTGGTAGAAGTCAGGATAGTGCGTGCCCTTGGGGTGTGGAGGTGACCGGAAGGAGGCACGAGGAGTGCTGGTCATGTTCAGTTCCTTGATGTGGGCACTGTGCTCGGTTTGTGAAAATTCATCAAGCTGTTCACTTATGATATAGACACTTTTCTGTATGTATATTATATACAACAAAAGAGTTAAAAAATTCCAGCTGGCTGGGAGAGTCATCCTTACCCTGATAGTTTTTTTAGCCGTCCCCCAAGAAAAACCAAAAAAACCTCTTAATGTGTTCAAAACAACAGCAACCAGAAAGAATGACTGTATTGGAACTAACAACCCAAGAACACATCATGTGAGCAGAGACTGGGCACCATGCTCCATCCTTGAGGATACCAGACATTGCTTTGGTGCTCCTTGGATGTGAGCTAGTTCAGAAATAGATGAATACCGCTGTTTGCTAGAGATTTGGGAGAAATAAGACAAACCTCCAGAGGAGATGGAATGGAAGGGGAACATGGAAGCCAAGCCCTCCTCCAGGAGGGTGGGCAAGTCCCACCTTTCTCCCAGTCAGGGCCCCGCAGGGCATCCACCAGACCAGCCCCTCTGTCCTGGTGCAGGGAACTCTGGAAAGATGGTGGCTTGGCCTGGGGGTGCTGGGCAGCAGGCTACAGCTGCTCCCAGGCGCTCCTGCCCATCTTCTCTGCCAGGGCTGAGGGCTCTGGCAGGCCTCCGTGTGACCCAGGCACTGCCACTGTATTCCTCACGTTGTTCTCCTTTCTCCTAGATGATAGATTCTCTGTCTTAAAGAAGTTCCTTTGGGAATCAGGAAGGGATCCTCCATTGGAGCAAATCTCATTGGTTTTCTAGGCTTCCACCTCCACCCACCTTCTGTCCTGAATCTGCTGGAATATTAAGTTGCTATAAATGAACTTTCCCTGGGGCTTGGGACACCCTTCCCAAGCCTTCCAAAGCAGAACTAGAGAAGGAACACATGCAAGGAGGCTAGGAGGAAGAGCTCTTTCCTTTCTATTCTTTAGTAGTGATAGAGGCACCGTGTGCCCTCACACTCCAATGCAGTACGAGGAGCAGACTGAGTCAGAGCTAAAGGGAGAACTGAAAAATGGCAGGTAGGGGGCAGGTGCAATTAAAAGCCTGATTTAATTAAGGAGAGCTCTTGTCTTTACCAAAGGCAGAGAGGCTTAGCCAACTCAAAGCACCCCAGCGACTTCTCCCCAACTCCAGCTGCCATCCTGAGGATGAATGAGAAGAGGCACAAAGCACTCTCAGGAGAGAGAGCCAGAAAAGGCCAGAACATGGTTTTCATACCGGGGAACTGAATCCCTAGCCCTGTGTCTTGGGGATTTCCCTTGAGGCTAGCAAGCCAACCCACTACCATTTATTAAATCTGTGCTACAGTTCCAGTTACTTCTAATTAAAGTTGTGACATCCAGGAGCTGTTTGGTTGTGGTCTGGTCCACCCACTTGTAATTACTTCTCATCTTTCCCGAGTTACAAAATTGAGGTTTGTGTGCTCCCGGGGATCTTGGCCTGTAGCTGCCAAAATGCCTGCCTTTTAGTGTTCCCAGCTGGCCTTACCAGCTGGGTAAAAAGATAGGAAAGCTAGCATTATTTCCTAAAGGTGGCTGTAGTGGCATGGGGTGCGGGGGAGTGTGAGGCAGAACACCAGGAGGAAGAAGTGGAAAGTGGACAGAGCCCAGAACTAGGCAGACCTCCAGGGGAATATCTGCTAGGCCACTTTCTGGCTGAATGGTGTTAGGAAAGTAACTTAACCTCTCTGAACCTCGGTTTTCTCAACTGAAAAATGGGAGTAATAGCATCTACCTCACTGGTTCTCAAAGTGTGGTCTCCAGATCAGCAGCATCGGCATCTCCTGGTGCTTGGGTTTCCTTCCCAAATACTTA